GGGGCAGCATAATTTTGCCCCAGGTTCCCATGAACTGGGGACTGGGGAAGAGGGACATCCTCCTCTCGGGCAGCTGTGGCTGGTGGAGATGATGTAGCAGTTGCTGGTGGCGAAGGCAGAGTTAGAGAAGAGAGAGAAGAAGCAGATGGCATTGTAGGGTGAGAAGCAGCTACGGCAAGTGCAGTGCTGGTTGTTGGTTACTTATCAACCAAAGACGGAAGGGGCCCGGTACTCAGCCTTACAGTACTGGGCGCGGCAACTGGGACTCAGAAGCGTGAGTTGGCATCTTCCACCATATCAAATTCCCCCATAGTACTGAGGTATCGTCCTCGGTTGGTGTAGCTAACTCAGCAGATTGAGCATTTTGTTGATATAGCTAACTCATCTTCATAACATCCGGGGATGCCTCAGGCACTACATTCTTTGCCTTTTTATTTTTTCACCCGGTCGAGGAAGAATGCCTCCTTTTTGGTTGCTTGTTCTCCGGCCGGGGACTCCGAGAAAAGTCACATGCACCAGAAGCAAGCCCGGAGACACATGTTCGGGTAAAAGCCTTCTGCAGCAGCCTTGCCGCATCAGCAGGATTAGCCAAAACGTCCTCCACAGGGACAACAATTGAGCCCTGGGGTAAACCTGAATTCAACAAGAGGAAAAGGGTTAATTAGTTTTTCTCATACGAAAGGGAAAAACAAGATAAGTTTAACCTATCATGATTTTTGGCCTTCTACCCATACGTACACCCTAGTTCTTTCCACGTACGGGTCTCGGGCGTAGTAACATCCAAAATATTTTGGACCCACTGGTCCAAGCCTTCGTCCCTCGGTGGAACCCACTGAGTCGCTGAAACAAGTGAAAGAAGAAGAATCAATAACAGCATGGGATTATCTTTAGCTAGAAGAAGAAACCAGCGATAAACTTATGCGTATGATTCCACAATTCATGAAAGGATGAAGCCGTGGACAGAATGATATCCCTGGTGGCAACTGCAATGAATCGTTCTATCCATCCACGGTCATTTTCATTATCCATGCTGGCTAGTAGGGCATGGTGTCCACGTTTGCAGAAATTTATCATTCCCCCGCGAAAGATCGTGGGGGAATAAAGGTTCATTAATCAAGCTAGGGTTAGCTCATCTCCCGTTTCCTGACACAGACCCCGAAGACAAGCGACTGTCCTCCACACAGAAGGACTTACTTGTGCCAGGCATACCTGGTAGTAGATGCAAAACTCCACAATAACAGAATCAAGCTCCCCGCTCAAAGAGAATGGCCCCAAAGTGAAGGGATACGTATAAAAATACATGAAACCCTTCTTGGGTAAGGTTATCAGTTCCACCAGATCAGGAGCGATAATATCTAAATCATGGCAATGGCAGTCTTCCTTCACAGCAGGAATGCTGGATTAACGAATGGGAGAAGGGTACACGCCAACGGCCCACGTACGAAGGTTAGCAGAAATATACTTCTCTTCTGCCNGAAGTCTTTTGTTGTGATAAGACTTCTTGGGATGATAGTGCTCACCGTAGGAGGAGCAACATCATCAACTTTACATTTATTTTTTGAGGAGCTAGGGTTAAGAAGAAGCTATTTTTAGCAGAAATGAAGAAGGGGTTTCTATGAAGAAGAAGGTTAAAGAAAAGTTGAAGACAAAATGCGAGTTGAGTAAAGAGAGCTTTAGAAAATTTGGAGAATTATGAAGTGTGATGAAGAAGTTTGATGCGTATAAGTAAAGGAATATGCGGCTAAAATCGTGACCATAATTACCTCGATAACCGGCAAAAGTGATGCTAATGTGAGGTGACGCGTGTGCGGGCATTAAATGCAGAGAGACGTGCATCTAATCAACCGTCAGAAACTTTTCAGAGAGGGTCAGGGAATTTGCCATCAAAAAAGGTATCTCTACCAACTTCACGGTGACACAAAGTTATGCCACCGAAAAACAGGGGGACTATCTGTATAGGGTAAAATATGTTCATATTTTATGATCGCATGAGAAAGCGACACGTAGAGCCGAAGACACAAGACAGTCGGGCCCGGAGGCAGTGATCCCACTTGCCGTCAGAAAGAATGATATTCATAAAGACAAAATAAATGACTGCCACCCGGCAGCATTCAATAAAGAATATTCTATAACATTAAATCCATGGTCCGTTACAGAGAAAGTGGCATTCACTGCCTACCGTTACAAATTCTCCAATGGCCCTCATAATTGTCATTTAAGAGGGGCTTGATCCTAAGACCTTGTTCCCTATGTGTAACTATAAATAGTGATCTCTACCATCATTATAAGGGACGAATTTTCTGACAAGCATACACTATATTCTATCAAAAGCTCAATAACATTTTATTTTATTACTTATTTATATTGTTCCTACTGCCTCTGGAAGTTCTGCCCCTGGGACTAAGATATTTGCCGTTTTATTTCAATTTCAAGGTTAAATCGTATATTTTTATCTAATTCATCTATTATTTTTGGATCAAAACGATTCGTTTGTCTATAAATCACGTATAAATTCAACTGTATCGTTTTACGGATAAACAATAGAGATGCTATTATAGAGTGGTCTGACCGTAGATATAAATAGATTAAAGACCACGTGATTGGCGTTCTTTTACTCAACAAAACAAATTCCACGTACACTTTTAGTCAACAATCAGACGGGTTCAAAACATTTATTTTGATCGAGTAGTGTTTGAGTGAAACTTGTACTCCGGCTATTTTGCCAAATATATTTCATCGGAATGTCATAGAGTACCAATGAATACAGGTGTGGCTATTTTACCAAATATATTTCAGTTGAGTCATATTAATGTTTAGTGGAATATAAAAGCTTGTTTGGATGGTTGTTATGCATCCTTTCATAATGTATCGTATTGTATTGTACTATATCGTTTTGATGTATATAATGTTTGGATAGTTTATATTAATTTTTGTTGTTTTATGATGTCATTCACGTATAATTTAAAGAATAAACTTGTAATATTATAAAGAAAAAAAATAAGGTACAAGGTAGAATTATTATATAAATAGGTAGGTCAAAGGATAAAATTAAATTTTTTAATAATATAGAAGGACACAATGAGAGGGAAAAAATAAAGGAACGACCTGATCATACTAAATGGATATTTCATAAAGTGACACTTTGACAAATTTAATAATACGATACAATAAAATTTAAATAACAATCAAAACAAATATTATATTATTTAAACTAACAATATTCAACACGATCGGGAAAAGGACTCTCCGGCTAAGGCAAAATCATTTCGGCTGCAATGGCGGAGCGGGAGATCCCTTGTAAATCTTGCGATTTCCTTCTCGCGAGAGGGAACGAGAACTGGTAGAAGAAGAGGAGAGTATGGATGAAGAAGAAGTTGATGATTCATATGATTCCGAGGAAAGCGAGGACGCTATAATCTATGACTCCGATGATTCTGATTTTGAAATGTGGACGGTGCCAATGCGTATCGCAACGTCTGGAACTAGTATTACCGGGAGTGGAATGAGAGCGAGGTTGGTACTTATGCTATTCCTGTGTGCTTTGCTTTGTTATTATTCGTCGCCTTCTACTCATCATTGATGTTACTTTGTAATTGTTTGTGTGGTAGGGTTTTGATATCTCTGTCCACCCAGGTGCTTCTTTTATGGCTCCAATTGCGCAGCTACGGAGTTACCTGAAGAATCCAAAAGAAAAACAGATATACACTGAGTTGTGCAACTTGGCAATTGGAATTTTCAATTTCCAGAATGTAAGTGCTTGCTTTACTCTTTTGATAATATCAAGCTAATATTGATTGTAATTGAGTTTTTTGCCTGTCTTCATTTTAGGCTAAAGAGTATGAGTTCGTGGAAATTGTCAAGGTAAACGCATCATTTGCTGCTGGGATGTGGTTTTATTTCACCTTTCAAGCTAGAGATACTGATGGCGCGATAAAGATCTTTCAAACATTGGTGTGGGACGGTATTAATGGAACCAGAAAGGTGGAATTTTGCAGGCTTAAGAAATTCATTAAGTAATAAAGGTAAACTTTGACAATACAGGTTGCTCAAGTGGTAAGCACCCTCCGCCTCCAACCTTAAGGTTTGTGTTCGAGTCGCCAACGGAGTAAAGTGGGGAGCTTATAGGGAGAGGTGAGAATATATATATATAAAACACATTAAACAAAAAGTAATAAAGGTAAACTTTGTACATAAACTTCATACTCTGCATCTGCCATCTTGTTATATACTGCTTATATAAGCCTCATGCTTATGGTAAGTAGATATATGTGTCGATCAGTCACCCTTTTGAAAGCTTTATATATGCAGCGTGTTTTGAATATTTTCCACTTGTTTTGTTTTAGTTTCATTTTGCTTTATCAGGGATTGCATTTGATATCCCTAATATTATCTAGGGTGTACGTAATGTGTCCCATCTGCCTCATTGTTTGCTGCTAATTAAGTTAAAACATACTCCTACAACGATAATAAATATTCTGAGCAATCATATCAGAATTGCCATCCAATTTGTTATCTCCTTGATTTTATACAATATGCAAAAGCATTTAACAAAGTAAAGGAATAACTTTCTCACCCCAAATAATGGCAAGGAGAATCTGCAGAATATTGTTATTGACATTGAAGAGGTGATGAAAGTTCTAGGTTTCGAATACTGGTGAGGAAGTGAAATCACCGGGAGGGTTTGGGGTTTTGTTTTTAAAAAGGATTTTTCGGGATTAAATAAAAATATTAGGGATAAAATAATACAATTATTGGTCAAAACAAAAGTATGTCTAAGCTAAAAGGTCATAAGTTGGAGTGGACCAACTTATGACTTATGACTTATTTTGGCTTATAAGCACTTCTAATATTTACCAAATGTCATAAGCTAAAAAATGCTTATAAGCTAGTTTTACCAGCTTATAAGCTTAACCAAATACCCCCTAAATCTCAAGAAACGTTTACACTTCCTTTGATCCGTTATTCACAGAATTTAACTGTTGTTCTTTTTGATATAACAATTAGTCTTACTAAATTCTCTAAGTTCTGTAGGTCTACCAGTAACCTTTTGGAGAATGTCATTTGAGCTATTTGCCTTTTTCTCTGCAGCTTTAATTCATGCTTATGGAGCCAAACTTGGGTAAAATTGTTTGTTGCCTCGTGTCTATTTCTTTTAATCTGTTTTTCATATACTTCTTTGTTTAATTCTTCCTTTTCCTTTCTCAAGTCATTTTATCATTCTATGACTTTTCGCTTTTAAGAATTTCAAGTGCTCTGAGCCATCTCTTATATGTTGTTAGGGGCTTCTGAGGTTTGTTGTGACTTTAAGCGCAAAGCGTAAATAAAATGTGGGCTTTAATAAAGAAAGGTACAATGGAGAAAACTACAATTATGTATGTGTAGTCCAAGACTAATATCTAATAGCATGAATACCAAATATATGGACAAAGAAATTAAAGAAAATTTATGGTAAAGTGAAATATCAATTGTTTAGTGTCGCCTCTCCAGGAGAACACTCACTAAAGGGCCCGCTAAGCGAGGCGAAGCGCTCAGCATGTTTTGAACCTCGATTCAGGGCTTAAGCGCGCCTTTCATAACACTGAATGTTCTACATCTAAGTTGCTCCGACATGGCAGTTTAGGTGCCGCATCCGTGTCGACACGACACTAGTATGGGTGTGGGTATGGGATCCGTACCAGATCTGGTCAAATAATTTTGGGTACTTTGACCACGACGGATAGAAAAATTCGAGACGAGATACAATTTGATTACCGAAATGAGAACTAAAACTAGGGTAAATTTGAAGAAAATAGCATATCTTATCTAAGAAATCAATCTTTTACTTATCTACAACTTGAGAATAAAAAGGAAATCCACACTTTACAAGCTATACGTAAGTATGCCACAAAATTTCTCATAAATTAGAGAGATTTTTATTTTTTAAAATTATTTTTAGCCGGATCCACACACACGTATCCGTACTAGGATCCGTATCCCCGAATCTTAAAATTTATATCTTGAAAGATCCGACCTCTATATCCGCACCCGTGTCGGACACCCGCATCCGTGTCCGAGCAACTTAGTTCTACATTGGTTAAGTAAGAATATTCAAAAGTGATCTATATAAAATCATTATGAACTGCCTCAATCTAAAAGTTTTAACATAAATTTCTAAATGAGGCACCACCACAATAGCTCCTTTGAATTATGATAAACTACCACACCTTAGTGAAGTAGTATTTACTTGAGAGATGAAAGGAAGTTCTATTAATTTATTGATCATTTATTTCATTAATTGTCATCATTGCATTCCAAATATAGCATTAGAAGTAGTTTTAGCCTTGGCACAAGAAAACTGCTTCAGCATTTTCATCATTGCAATAGAGACAAGGATGTTGAGTCTCAATATGTTCATCATTTTTCAGAACATCCCTTGACATCATGACCAGCTCTTTGTTACTAAGAGGGCCAGAATGTTTCTTCAACACAGTTAAAATTGCATGGCTAAATGCCCCATAAGCTTTGTTTTCATTTTCACTTCCTCCTACATCTTGACATTCCTCATTAGCTTGACAACCACTTAGCAAAATGCCCTCATCTTGTTTAAGAGACTTCAACAAATCCAACTCCATTTGAGGGAAACGAAATAAAAGACTAGCTTCATTTCCGAAGAGTTGTAGCATATGTGTTCCAATATCTGAGGTTTTTATGTTTGTTAAGGATGTGAGATGTTCCAAGACAGTTTCTTGAGGGATGAATTTAGGCTTGCAAGATTGTGATGATTGAATGGTTTTTCCCTCTGCTTGGTTTTTTGGCTTATGGGATGGTCCAATTTGCTCTTTCTCTTTGTCAATTAGGCCTCCGCTATGGCAAGAATCTGAAAGGATGGTGATGGTTGCTCCTTCTGGTATGCGATTCACTATTTTTCTAATGTCTACATCTGCCAAATACACGTTTTTAAAGGTTACCAAGAATGCAAAATCATGAAATCTATATATATACACTGTTAGTGTAAAGAGATTTTACATTATAATTGCAATATGTTGTAACAAGTTATCTGCCTTATTTTCATGTGAAGTAACTTTACTTTCTACTAGATTAGATAAGATCAAGAAACATACTAGTGATATAATTGAAGTCAAGAGGAATGATGGCTTCGTCTTGTTTCTTCTTTCCAATCAATGTTCCATGGCCACTAAAATGGAAGTACAAAACATCCCCTGTTTCAGCTTGATCAACCATCCTGTTTAGTGCTTTCTTGATATTAACTCCAGTAGGCATCACTGGACTTCCTGGTTTATCCATCAACAGTTCAATGTGCTGTGAATCGAACCTGAATCGATTCACAAGCACATCTCTCATGGCTAAAACATCATTATGGCATCCATGTAACCTGTAATGTGTGTTTTCATAGTTGCAGCCAACTAGAACTGCCAGTTTTTTACCAACTTTCTCCATTTTTTTGACAACTAATTAATGAATACAAGAACTCTCTCAGATTGTAGATTTCTCAATGTTGAAATGGTCTTTTGTGGATTGGTTCAAGTGCAAATTTATACTGGAAGTTTCATTATTTTTGCTTGGAAGTTTCATTTCTTGAAGTCATTAATTGCTTATGAGTTGCCATTTCTCAGTTTCTACTTTAAGAAATTAGAGGTGGCAATGACATTTTGTTCACGCGATTAGTTTTTTCCCTCCCTCTTAAATTAAATTTTGTAGGAAGATTTCTCCGCTCTCATGGAAAATAATTTTTTATTATTGAGTACAATACTATCGTTAGCGCAAATGGTAAAGGCTTTTTCCATGTGATAAGAATGTCATGCGTTTAAGCTGTACAAACAAACTCGTGCAAAAATGCAAGTCAAGGCTGAATACAATTGACTCGTTATGGTCCAGCTTTTAGTCTGGCTCCACTGATAGCGAGATTTTAATCCACTAGGCTCAGTGGCAGAGCCACATAGCTCCAGAGGTGCCAATAGACACCCTTTTACCAAAAATTATACTGTTTAGATAGGTAAAAAATATTTCTTTATATATATATATATATATATATATATATATATATATATATATATATACTATGATCTGAATCTTCTTGACTTCTCCTTGTATTTACTTCTTTATATTTTGACATCATTTAATGAAAATCATAACTTCGCTATTGACTAGGCTACCTTTGAGTAATGTAACACATTAATGTACACAAAACAAAAGTTATTTATTATGATAAAATAATGAAAATGTATATGGTGATAATAGAAGTGTGCCAATTGGGATAAAGGTGACATAATCGAGTTTCAACCTCTTGGAACATAGCTTATGGTATATAGAATAAATTGCATATTTGGAAGGTCTCTAGCTTGTAGCAAATTAAGGTTTGCCAACTTTGTTACATATTGATGGGGACATGAAACTGCACGTTTTCTTTCACGTAACATCTACATCAACAAGAGAAATTTCTCAGAGTTCGCTCAATCACTTTCCTAACCAGCATCTTCATATATTAAAACGTCTATCAATTACTTGGTGTGTACATCATACGATACATACGTGACACAAACTCAATGAATAGACAGCTTATGAGGATTAATTGTTTTTATTAAAATAGTGGGATATAATTAGATAAATCTCCACGCTATATCCAATCTTCACTTTTTATATTTCATTTAGTTTTTGGCTTCTAAGTCTTGATAAGGAAACGTGTTGCTTCAGACTTCAGAGCAAAGAAATACAGAGAGAACCAGGGAAGTTATTCAAGGCTTCAATTAGGAAGTTAAGAAGGTAATGCATTTTCAATTTCATATTCAAGTTAATACTTTTTTTTTTTTGGCTCTGCAATAACCTTATGTGGGCAGTTTCTTATTTTTCTTTTTATTTTATAGTAATCATCATTTATTTTATGTGTTTATGGTAAAGGAGAGCAAAAGGCAAAATGGGTGGTTTACAAATAATAAACTAGTGCGTGGAAAAGTTCCAGCTAACTAATGGTAAGTTCCCAATTTCCTGTAGTTTTAGCAATCTTATAAGAGCATATGTTTTGTCCGATGAACAACGAGCCAAAGGAGAACGAAACGCAAGGGTACTCCTTTGTTGTTGTACAGACTAATTGACGTACACCTCAACTTATCAACCGAATATCTACTACCTTCTACTAGCCCAAGCACTGGATAACTTTAAAATTTAGGGTAACGAGAAAAAAAAAATAACAAAGTGTTTTTTTGTCTCCACTAACAAGGTACGCTATGTAGCAACCGTCATACCAGTATTTGCTCCTCAAATGGCCATAAGCAGATCCAATGGAGAATACGCCATACTTTGCAAAAGCCCATGCTGATTAGCTTCCTAATTTACCTGGTTAGGACCATCCTAAAGGATACTAGAAATGATACCAGTTAACCACTCTAAAGGGTTATTATTTACAAATTAGCCAGTGCGTCCTTAATTTCAATTTTTCAGTTCAATTTTATCGGGACAAAGATATCTTTGAATTGTCCTGAAGATAAAATCTTCAGTTTAAAATTTCAGGACAAAATAAGTATTGGCTAATCTCTAAATAGAATGGCTATCCGGCTATCCGTGCACTTGCCCCTTGCCCTCTATCTCATTTTTGTGTATTCCGCTAGTGTCTCGCTCTAACATGATGGGCTTTTTACACAATATTTATCTCACACCATCTGAACCACACAAATTATTAGGAATTATATAAGAGTTCAGAGAAATCCCTCTTATTGATGATCAATATAATAGTCGGAATGAGTCCTATTTGTCACTCCATAGGAGCATAGGACGAGCTTAGAGCTTGATTCTTCAAACGCTACACATAGACGATAGTGTTTTCAGTAAGTGCTACACATAGATGATCGGATGAAGTCTGGATACTCCATGAGATCTGGAATTCATCTCGGCTTCCTTTAGCCGGGTGGCCAGTTCATCTGTCGTCCCCCGAGAAGGTGAAGGTGAAGATGATAAACAGATTGGCCTGACAAAACAATCTTCAGGTTAATATACATTTAAATGCAACTCTAATTGGAAAAAAGGAGAGCATGAAGCAAAATACAGACATCCACTAGGCCCATCATTGATCACAAGTCTGAACCCATTCTCGAGCAGACCTTCTTGTTTAGCAACAAGCTTTGCGGTGTAAAGAAGTTGACCAAGAATTTCACAATGCTTTTCTTCAGCCTGAAAAAAAAAGGGTGACGAAACAAGCAGGAGAATATACCAAACAAGGACCAACTCAACCGTTTGTGAAGAATTGATGACAATACTTTAGATACGGAAGCAATACTAGATTGATTAAAAGAGGAGGCTTTTGCATATTATAGCAGCATAGAGCCATAGTAATCAAATCTCTCAAGAGGTCCAGCTATGAAATTAAGGACTAAGGATGTTGTCCTTTGTACCCAAGACATTTCCTAATTCAGGTAAACCAAATGTAAAACGACTATAAAGTTTTACAGTTTCCTGGTCCAACATCTTCAAGCTCATAACATGACCAAGTCGACCCAACTTTGGAATTCAAATACAATTTTCCCCCTCATTTTTATCGTATTGAGGTCCCATTTTTCTCTCATTATCAGGGTGCTAAGGTACCAATTAATTCAATGATCAATAAGATCACACAAGAGTGGAAAGTTAAAACTATAATGAAGTACAAGGACATAAGCTCCATATATTGATTAAGGCTCAAAAAATCCCAAAAAACTACGGAAATAAGCATACAGTTCCGGCGAAAGATAAGAAGGAAATATTTGATTTTCTTTAGTTTTTGATAAGATAAAGTAATTTTATATTGTGGAAAAATTCCCGTACACGAAAACTATATTAAAGGGTAAAGAGCCTACACAAAAATATCATTCTCCACAAAATACATTCAATCTTCTATAAATTGGTGAACCAGAAAGAAACGAGAAATAAGAGGCAATATCTCAAATGTGCTGAATCACTTCCAACTTCAAGAAAAATACCATAAGCCTCTCCATCCGTAGGACCCACATAAAGCGAGTGGTGCAAACCCTGATCTTCTCTTCCTTCTTTGATATTAGGTTTTTTAGTCGAAGTGAGTTTTTCTCGTGATTAATTAAATCAAATAATTAAATCAAGTGAATCTTTTCTCCCTTAACTTATGTAATTTAATATCATATATCTAATTTCACTTTTGTTCTTTCCTTTTATTCGTTACTCTTAGTGTCTTACTCTAGGCCCATGCCTTGATTGGGTGTGGAATTAACTGCATACTAACAATACAGGTTAGAGAGAAAGAAAGGGCAAAGAGAGCAAAAGACGGATAGACAGCTTCTAGGAATGCTCAAGTTTGTGACAAGCTCTATAAAAAAAAGTTATTCTCTTCTCCCGTTAAATAAACAAAAAAAAATTGAAGAGATAAAAGAAAGAAGAAATAAAGGACAAAGATAACCCCCTCAGCCACTAATAGCAGCTCCAGGGAATGCTGAGAGTCTTAACAGCTCAGTGCTAAATAATTTCTAGATCTTCTATCTCCTATTTCTCGTTTCCAATACTTTGTTCGATCAGATATAACAAGGATCATCATATTAAGGTGCAGTCACATGAAAAGAGTAAAGCTTTAGCCTTCAAACCAAAAAATTCAGCGAAGCAAATTGTGCCTATTAATTAGACAAAAAAAAACTTCCCTAGTTCCATCTAATGATTCGGACCAAAACCCCAAACTGGTAAGCAAGCAAAAGAGTGACAGACATCACATGATAAAAAAATAAGTATCTCAGATGTGGAATTATGTGTTTAATGCCTATTCAGAAGAAAGCAAGAAAGAGAGAAGTATAGGAAGAGAACAAGAAATAAGCAAGAATGAATGAATTGATGAACATAGAGAGAAACAACTTAATGAAAACAAAAACACAGAAAGAACAAGCAAGGAGATCATTCCCTCCCATTAGAGTAGCTACAAGGAATGTTGCGAGTCTGCGAGCAGCAATGTGCTAAAGCTAGTTTCTAATTCTTATTCTTCTTTTTCCATTTTTACAACTTTATTTGATCAGATATAGCAAGGATCATCATGTTAAGTGCAGTCACATAAACCAAAGTACACCATTAAACTCTAAACCAATAAACTAGTGAAGCTCGCCTCGAAATGTCACCAATTTTTACTTCACTTACAAGCATTGCACATCATATATTCTGAGGCGCAAATGCAGGGTACTATTGTGCTTCTTGTGCGCAACCTTTCAACACTATGAGCTCCCTACAAAAAGCTTATTCATACTCTTTCAAGAGTAGAAAGAATACCTTGGACAGTCCAGTCAAGCCATCCCTGACCTTGGGAATAAGCAGAATGTGCACCGGAGCTTGGGGATTTATGTCTCTGAAAGCTAAAACCTGGCATGAAAATTATTGACTTAAATATAAAATATAATACAGTACATCAAAGAATGGCCAGCGTGAAAGCTTAAAGGCTTGCAAATATTGATGTACAAAATCAAAACACTCATACCATAAACGGCGGATAAAGTACTGACAGGGCAGTAGAAAAATCAAAACACTCTTCATCGAGTAACTTAAACTTTTATTAAAATAACAGCAGGTCAGCAGCAAATTATACAATCTTTGCCAACATCCAAGCAAACGTTGGATGCTGCTTAAAAAGGCAATAGTGCATTTCAATTCCCCGTGTAATATAAAAGATGACTTAAAACAATCACCCAGAAACGAAACATGCTTACATCTCATGGACAGTTGGATTAGGAAACCACAATTTTAATGCCCATTTTATTAAATCTTTTCCAGGTGTAAGTGAAGTAGCCTACTTTCATAGTATCAAGGAACACTATACCCACTCCTCAGAATCAAGAACTTATGAACTCCCTAGACATATTCCAAGACCATCTGCTTGCATTTGCTGATTTGCAGAAGTTTATATCAGGAATTTTTTTTACTATATTAATATTGTCTCAATCATGTTCTCAGAGTATCTTCCTCGCACAAGACAAGCAAGAATGTCCGAGGGGTTGTCTTTTCCCCATTAAAAAGGGCTCCGCAAGTGGAGCTCCAATTAACCTTTCTTCTCCACTCAACAAAGAACTACAGGAAGGATAAAAAAAAACTCAGAAAACGAATATTTGGAGCAGGATATAGTATTCAACTATGGGTGTGTTTTGGTACAAAGGAAAATGACTTCCAGTGTTTGGTCACTACAAATTGTGATAAATGCTAAGTATCTAATGAAAATAATTTCTACCAAAAGGAAGGAAATTCACTTGTGTCACTTGTTGACTGCAGTCATTTTCTTTTACAAATATCCCAACTCTTCCACCAGAATACTTACTTCAATCAACACCTTACACATTGTTAACAACCTTTAATACTCAAAAATCCCACCAAAACACATCCCTATACCCAATGCTGCATCTTGTAGTATCACCATTCACTTACTTTTATACCTATCAAAATATTTTCAAAATTATCTTTTTTCCCTAATAACAAGTGGCATCCGCTCTAACTTGCGTATACCTCACTATTCCACCAAATACCTAAATAACAGCTAAACATAGAGGCACAGACACAAACACAAAAAAAAAAAAAAAAAAAAAAAAAAAAAAAAAAAAAAAAAAAAAAAAAATATGAGCCAAGTGGCAGTATATACCTTGTCATCCTCGTAGACAATGTTTGCTGGGATTTCCTTGTTAATGATCTTGTCAAATCTGAAAAAACAAAAATCAATTAAAATAAACCCTACAATTTACACAAAAGCTAATTAACCATCAAAATAAACAGAAAATGGAAAAATAAAAAGAGAGATGAATACAAGGTAGGAGAATCTGAAGGAACGGTGAGAAGAGCAGCTTCTTTCTCGGAAGCCATGGCAGCAGGCTTCTTCTTCTGATGAGTAGTGAAGTGTGCAGTCAATATTTGGAGTCGCCTCTTATTGGGGTTTTCTTCACTCATATCGTAAAGCTTCCTTTTGTTTGTGGGTATATCAACTTTTTTAGTCAACACATCAGCACTGTCATTTTCTCGTAATTGTGATTAGGTATACAAAGTTTTCATTCTTACCGTTGCGTTTTTATCCCAAAATAATAACCGTCAAATATANTTTATTTCGGTCCACGGACCAAATGTGTTAAAAGGCCAAATAAAAATATGTTACTGATTATATTTGTGTATCAACTAAACTAGCATCATTCAAACTAAGCATGTTAATCGGGTCGGGCTACTCCAGTCACAGCCCGGTTCGACCAGGTTCAACCCGGGTCAGCCCGGTACGCTAGAGGGTGGGACGAGTTGGGGAGGGTTGGGGGGAGCCGGGTGGGAACAAACATAATTTGGTAACCGGTGCCCCGGAATCCGATTAGCCCGGTTACCCTTTACCGGGTTTTTACCGGGCTACAACCCGGTCCATCCCGGTTATCGTTGTAAAATTATTATTATTTTTTAAATTTTTTGACCGTTGCCAACGGTCAAATTCAAAAATGACCGTTGGGCAACGGCCATTTTTTGCAAAAATGGCCATTTCAGCTTACTCCTTAAGAAAATAGCCTCCACCCCTAATAATTTATAAATTATAATTTTAACCTTTTAAAAACTATAAATAGCCCCCCTTCTTCTTTATTTTTCTCACAATTTGCTCTCTTACCACTCTAATATCTCTCAATTCTCTCTTGATAATATTGCTTATTGCTCTTAAATTCTCAATTACTTATTATTTCAAGTTTCGTTAGATATTTATTTTAGTCACTACAAAATTATAATTATCAAATATCAAGTATTCAAGTGAAGTGTGGTATCAATATTCAATATCATCAAATATCAAATATCAGTCTATTAACTGAAGTTTGATATCAAATTTAGTGCGGCATCTGGAATCCCGGTACACTTGTTCCATCTCTTTCTCTTCTTTGGTGTATATTTTTTATTTTATTATTTAGAATTATTAATTTAATTTACATAATGGATATATTTAGAGCAGCCAAAAAAGTGTGTCCTAGTAGGGGTGGTAGTAGTAAGAGTAAAACTTCTAAAAAATCAGGAGGTGGTGCTGGTTCTTCTAGTAGCTTTACACATATTTATGAAAGTTCACCTGAAAATTTAAATGTAGATTATGAGCAACTTCAAAAAAATTATGGTATAGATGATAATTTAGATGATATTTAGTCACCTGGTAATGCTAGTCAAACTCAAAATACTAGGGGTGGAGGTCGTGGTAATACAGGTAGGCATCCCCTCCCTATTAAAAGAAATCGAAGATTAAGAAGTAAGTGTTGGAATTTTTTGAAAGACTAGAAAAAGATAAAAATTATGTAAGATGTCAAATTTGTAAGGAAGTTTGTAAGGATTGGGAATAATTAGCTAAGATGATTGTTTTAGGTTGTCTACCTTTTAGTTTTGCTGCTTCACCATATCTTGTTACTTATATTCAAAGAATTTATAACCCTTTGTTTAAAGGTACTCCTAGAAGTACCTGTAGAGCTGATATCTTTAGGCTTTTTGGACAATATGAGACATATATCTGTTATTTGTTCGCTAGTCTTTCTTGTAGAGTTTCTCTTACTTCTGATATTGGTCGTGTTGTTAATGAAAATGATTATTTGACCGTTACACGCCATTGGATAGATGATAATTTTTGTATGCAAAAACGTATTATTGCTTTTAAATATGATGAAGATCAAAGTCATACTGGTGCATTTATAAGTAATACTATCCATGAAGTTGCTATATTTTACAATCTTTCAGAAAAAGTTTTGTGTATGTCATTTGATAATGCTTCTAACGATAATGCTGCTATTACAATATTAAAATTGCATCTACACCCACCACTTCCTGAAATATTTCATGTTAGGTGTGCATGTCATATTTATAATTTAATTGTGAAGAGTGGCCTTGAATTATTTAGAGATGAGATCACTTTAGTTAGAAGAGATGTTGGTGTAATTCAAGAAAATAATAGAAGTGCTAGATTAAATGCATTTAAGGAAAAATATGTACAATATGGACTAAAACCAAGACTCATGCCTGAAGAAATAGTGTAGCACCCCGGAAAATTTTGAAATACTTAAGCGCATTTAATAAAGTTGATGTGTTCTAATTATATTATTTTGTGTGTAGACGAGGACTATTAATATGATGGATATTTATTGGATATGATAATAAGTGTACGAGGTGTATTTGAAGTGATATAGGTGTAACGACCCGACTTGTCGTTTTGAGAATTAAAGTTCCGTTCTGCAACTTAAGGTCCCGAGCAACTTCGTAATATGTATTATGACTTGCGTGTATGGTCGAGTTTGGTATTGGAAGGTTCGGAATTAAATTGGAAGAACAATCTTTATTTTTTGAAGCTTAAATGAAAAAAGTTGACCGGAGTTTGACTTTTGAGCAAACGACTCCGGAATGAGATTTTGATGATGTCAATAGTTTCGTATGGTGATTTTGAACTTAGATGTATGATCACGCCCAACTCTGCCTTATAAAAAGGACTAAGCGGTCGCTGCAAATATAATCCGATTTACAAGTGCGGAGTCGAATCTCATAGATAACTAAGGCTTAGTTACAGTTGTTCAATATTACTAAGAAACACAAGTCCAAACAATTTTTTAATTATAGGGATTATAATATTTATTTCTAACTAATTAACTAACAACTATTATAAAGCAGTAAAATTATCAACTAATAAGGATGAAATTTTAGACAAGACTAAGGAGGTCTAGATTTATGATTTTTTCAATTGTCGGAATTCTTCCCGCTATGCCTTCTATAATTTCGTCTAAGTATTCTCTACCGATCGTGAGTACTTCGGGTGTCATAATTCTCTTCCGAGCAACTACCATAATTTACTAGACATATTCGTCCGAACTACGCTAGCTGGCACTAGTTTACTTCTCACTAAGATCGCATCAAGATTTCGTTATTTCTAATCCCACCTTTAAACCCTTCGTATTGATTCCTCACATACGTCAGGAGTGATGTTATTCAACAACTACCTAAATATGTACCCTTTTCTAAGCAATACATACTAAATAGGCACAATCAATTGATGGCCATTCAATCAACAACAATAAACAGGTAGTTGAATAAGTAGAGAAATCCAACGACTCAATTATATAAAAACATAACAAGAATTTATCCTACAAAAGGTTCTATCAAAACTCTAGATAACAAATTAGTTATTCATAATAGTATGCAAAACTACAGTACTAGAATTCATAACCAATAATGAAAATAGGAAGAAGGAAGTGAAAAACTCGTAGAAGAATTTCCCGCCTTGCTCCTAGTGTGTTCTTGTCTCCTTAGGTCAAATCTCGGTATCTCCTGTCCAATCCCGGTCTCCCCTCTAGAAAAGGTAATTAATGACTATTTATATGTGTAGGGAAAAGGCCTAGACGAAATAACCAAGTCCAAAATCAAATAGGAAACAAAATAGGTTTTAAAAATCTGGAACACCTTCGCTATAGACCGTGCCTCGCGACCTCTATAGCGCGCTCCACCTAGCTTTGACCCGTGCGTCGCCCGCTCCATCGCGAGCTAAATTGCTCGCGTCGCATGCTCTGTAGCGAGCTAGATTGCTCGCGTCGCCCAGAATTGAATTCGACTTCTTGCTGCCTAACTTTTCAAACTCATTTCTCATTCTTGTTTCTGTTTCTCTTTTCAAATTCCCTTGCATTCTTTCTTTTTGTCTCTTCAATCATTCTTTTATCTTTTGTTTTTTATAATACTAACCTTCAATCATTGTCCAATAATTAAATACTCATGGACCATTCTTGTAGTGTATAAAATACACATAAAATCTCTATTTTGATCCCAATTTTATTTTCAACGTACCTACACATAAAATAAACTCAATTAAACATAAATATAGTATAGTTTAGTATTAAAGCACCTAAATATACGGTAAGTAATGCACTAAAAATATAAAATTATAGCAAACATCAATGTATGTTCGGATTTGGATTTGAAAGTCCGTATGATAATTTAACGCATTTTAGCGAAAGTTGGAAAATGGAAGATTTTTAGAAAGTTTGACTGAGAGTTTACTTTATTTATATCGGGGTCGAAAGTTGATTCCGAAAATTGGAACAACTCCATTATGTCATTTATGACTTATGTGTAAAATTTGAAGTCATTCCGGATTGATTTGATAAGCTTCGGTGCAAATTATAGAATTTGAAAATTTCATGACTCATAATTCGATTCGAGACGCGAGTTGTTGTTTCGGCGTTGTTTGATGTGATTTGAAGCTCGACTAAGTTTGTATCATGTTTTGGGACATGTTGGTATGATTTGACGGGGTCCCGAGGGGCTTGGGTTTATTTTTGGATCATTGGTTGAAAGACTAGTAAAGTTAAGAAACTTGGAGTTTGACCATGGTCAATAACAGGTCAAGACAACCTCTTTTCAGTGTTTTGAGTGCGCGAGCAGGTCCGTAGCGTGTTTTATGATTGAAATTCATATATGGTTTGTGTCTGAGAGGTTCCGGATGAGTTTCGGGGTGGTTTCGGATCATTTTGGAGAAGTTTGAGTTTGCTGGTTTCTGGTAAGGTACTGTTCATCCGTAATTGCGAACAATTTATTGCAATTGCGATGATTTTGGATTTTAGTGCAGTTCGCAATTGCGAACAATTTATCGCAATTGCGATGATTTTGGATTTTAGTGCAGTTTGCAATTGCGAATGATTTATCGCAATTGAGAACACTGTTAATTGGAGATTATTGTTCATTCGCAAATGCAAAGTTTTTGTCCGCAAATGCTAACCTGGGCAGAAACTTAAAGATTGAAAATCTGTCATTTCTTCATTTTCGATTGGAAATTTTGGAGCTCGATTTGGGCGATTTTGAGAATTTCTTCACGACATCGGCCGGGGTAAGTGTTCTATATCCGAAAGTGATTATATTTCATAAATCTATGGTTATATTCATCGTTTAATTCGAGTTTTAATGGAGAAAATGGGATTTTTGTAAAACTCTAC